AAAATTAAGTTTTGATATATTTACTGTAGGAAATTTACAAAATATCTTCATGGAACATGATCTTTACTTAATATCCTAATGATTTTTGGCATAAAAAAAAATCAATCATTTTGACCCATACAATGTATTGTTGGCTATTGCTACAAATATACCCCAGCGACTTAAGACTGCTTTTGTGCTGCAGGGTCACATATTAAAAACATTTAAAAATCACAATTATTCCAAATGTTTGACCGGTAGTGTATGACTAGTTATTTAATTAAATGATTAAAACCTCTTTGTGTTTCCCCCTGGTATGACTTAAGCAGTATTTGATTGATTCTGAACTTTATTAGCTCCAGAAAAGCATTGTGTATTCACTTCATTGGTAAAAATGCTTATCAAATAAAACATTCGTCCCACATATAGGATGCTTTGTCCAATCTAGCCCGTCCTAAAATGTGTTAGACACCCCTGATGGAAGAGAGTCCTCTTGGGTTGTTAAACCCCATCAGCACGAGTTGAAACAGTAAGAGCTAAAAATATGCCAAAACCAAAGTTATTTTCACTCTGCTGCAAGCATTTCTCTTCCAAATAAACCTGAAAATAGCATCGGTCTGTGGTTCTGCTTCAGTCAACAGGGATAGTTCACCCAAAAAAATGAAGCCTGTCTTCATTCCAAACCCATAAGGCTTTTGATTTATCTTCAAAACACGAAGCTATTTTTAAAACGGTCTCAATTTTTGTTCACCCATTAAAAGCCCATGCGACCAAAACTTTCAAACTCAAAAAAGTTCATAAAGATATCATCATAAAAGTAATTCAAGTAAATCCAATGGCTGTGTTCGAGGACAAGCCTCACTGGTTCTGGTGTTCGAGCGGTCTGCCATATTTGATGTGCTCTATGTGTGCGCGTGTTGATTAATGTTCATCGATGGCTTTTAATGAAATCTGCTCATCATATAAAGTGACCATGTCTCTCCAGAAGACTTGGATTAAACCGCAAGAATCAAATGGATTACTTTTATGATCTCTTTTGGAAGTTTGACATTTTAGAGGGACAGAAATCCCTTATGTTTCATTAAAAATACCCTGTGTTTCGAAGATGAAAAAGTCACACAGGTCTGGAACAACATGAGGGTGAGTAAATGATGCCAGGATTTTCATTTTTGGGTGAACTCTCCATAATGTTAAAACATGGATTATCATACAAGTAGCTTCACACCGTGTCCTAACTACACGCGACGCCACGCCACGCGATAAAAGGTATCTTTTCCATGTTAAGCCCCGTTCACACTGCCAGCGACTTTTTCGCTGCTTGTCGCTTGTGGCTGGCACTTGAGGTCGCTAGTGGGCGTTCCCACTACTGGTTGCCTAGTTACCCCGTAACACTCCACTACAGCAGATGAATCACGTGCTCTCCACTGACTTCACTCCCATTGGTTGTCGCTCGCGAAATTCGCTGCTTATTTGCATAAAGTTGAAGAATTCTGAACTTTTGTCGCTTGACTTGCATCACTTGACACGCCCACATTCCATCGCCAACGGTCACTGTCGCCGGAAGTCGCCAGCTCTCCATTGAAAATGAATGGGATTATGTCGCTGTGTGTAGCTGGCGGTGTGAACGGGGCTTTAATCGGAGTTTTGTCCTAACTAGCCGCGACACGCGAAATGTCTAATTTAGAAACGGTTTCTATTTTCGCGACACAACAACAACTATATGACCGTAGATAATCTCAGGTGATTATGTGCTTCATTCAAAGTTAAACGTCTCTAATATGAGTTTAAATATAATGTTGTGTGACCTTATAGCCTTCTATACTGAAAGCAACAATCTTGAAAATATCTAAAGCAAAGATGTCCGTTAAAACTGTGAACTCACTGCGAACCAACGAATGTATTCCATAACAACGATGTTATCAGTCACTCAGTACATTTAATGATGTTACAAAGCTTTAATATTTATGAATTCAATTATAAGCATATCCATTTCGTTGCGAGCTTCCAGAGAGAGCCCGCCCACACACGCTAATGATTGGCTGTGATATTCAGGGTTGCCAGGGTTTCACAACAAAACTAGCCCAATTGCTACTCAAAACTAGCCCAATTGCGTTTCGAGGGGGGTCCCCTGATAAAAATTGCGTTCCGGGGGATAAAATAAACATTTTTTGGCACGGTTCCCCTGGTAAAATTCGCATTTTAGGGGATAAGTATCATGTTATTGGAGTCGCTTCAACCCGCGGACATGAAAAACAACCCGCGGCAACAGTATTAAAGTAGCCCAATTCTGCGGGAAAACCGCAGACTTGGCAACACTGGTGATATTTGATTGATTCTGTCGCGTCTGGTGTGGACACCCAAATTTCTTGTCGCGTCGCGTGTAGTTAGGACATGGTGTCAGAAAGCACAAGTACTTTACATTTCAATCATGAAATGCCTGTTATTGTACTTTAATATGAGATTTAAAAAAAAAATCTATAGACCAATTATAGGTTTGTAAACATTCAGGATGCGCGCGCATCATGGTTGCAGAAAACCCGGGCGAGATATGCAAGTGACGTAACTGTGACGTCTACTCTGAATTGGTCTATATCTATGGTATGTATGATATAGTACAGTATTGATTTAAAAGTTGGAAGGGAAGAACAATCACAGTGTTTGTTTGGTGGTCATGCTCACTAAACTGGACTGATCTGGTGCATGAACCAAAGTTCAGAGTGAAATCATCGTGTCAGGAGGGACTCGTGATGTGGCAAGACTCATGCGCAAACAGGAAATGATTCTGGATTAAAACAGTCCAATGTAAGGCCACATTCGCAGTTTAAAACACACAGTACGGTTTTAATATAAAACATGAACACCTCAAAAAATCTGATTCTACAAATCACATACATTTTTTTTTTAGGGTTGGGGGGGGGG